TCCAGATTGTGCATTAATATCCCGCAAGGTTGCCAGCTCTATATATAAATCTGAGATTGCTATATATATAGGTGAAAAATTAAAGCTTCCGTCTCAAGTTATATATATATATATATATATATACAGGGTGACTTTGAAGTTGAGTCATTAATTTTCAGATAATGATTGTAGAAGGAAGATAATCCAAAATATGTGTGTAAAAATAAAAAAAAATTTACCTTGTTTTATAAAGTATCCTCCCGACAAGTATTTCAGTGCGGACCTATATTTGATGCCGTCCGATGTGAGGTCTTAAGTCACCTGATTCACGAGCCCGTTGTACTACATTAACAAAGGCACGAGGGGTTGGTTGCACTCGATTGGCAAACCGATCCACATAAAGATGTGCCATTTTTTATTTCGTTTAAGCCACGCAACAGACACCACTATTCACTCACGCGTTACCGACTGACACTGACTGTATACGTAAACAACTGAATAAAATAATTGTAAAAACATCGTTCCAAATTCTTTCGCTTTTTTGTTTCCGATGCGATGAACCGATAAGGCGGATTATATCCGTTATTGCCAAACACGAGCACATAATATTATTATTGAGACAGGGCGGTACTCAAACTTCCAAAGGGCTATAACTTTGTTACTTTAATTTTACCAGAAAAATGGTAAAGGAAAAAACATTTCTTTTGATCAGATCTACTCACTGTTAAAATAAATGACTCAACTTCGAAGTATATAAATTTGGTGGTAAATCTTATAACAGCATGTGTGATTGACATTTTGCGCTAACTTGACGAATAAATACTTTTTTATATGTTAATACAGCAACGTCAATAACACAAGCTGTTATAAGGTCACTCATATCTACTTACTAATCTCAAAAGGTTCAGAAGAAAAACATATATTGCAAATACCTAAATATATATTTGTTATGTAAATCTCATACATTTTTCTACAAACAAATCATCAACATCATTATGGTCCAGATGTTTTCATTCCCCAGCCTTTGTTGGCACCTGCATAAATCAAAAATTAGAAAAAAATTGAATTGTGATGATGTTTCTAAAATTCACAGATTCTTTTTTCATTAGAACAATAATATGATTGTCCACAAGTATCCACAGGAATGTTTCTCAGATATGATCATCAAGAGATAACTGTTACCACAGCCCCCCTCAGGGCTCCCATGTTATTGTTCAACAACGATTCTTGGCTTTCATTTCATTAAAATTATAGTGAGCTTTACATATCAACCCTACTGCTCTGACAATAGCTGATTTAAAACGAAATATGAAAACTAACTTGGACAAAAAACAGAACAAATCATCATTAGTTATTGAGTCATATAAAAACTTCCAAATGTTGTGTTCTGCAAATATCCTTCAGAGCTGAACCTTTTGGTTAGATCAGAAGTAATCTCTGAGCTTTTGATAATTCTCAGGACCTCAGGGGTTGACAACGGCAGCTATTGAACTTTTCGTGGTGCTCCACTGTTCAAAGAGTGATGTGGAGATACAGGCTCGATCTTCAAATATCACATGCCTAAAATGAGTAACCGCTGCCTCTCTGCTCATCATCAGGATGTGCCAGAATCCTGGCTAGTGACTTGGATCACCTTAAAAAGAAAAGTTTTGATGTGGAGTTTGTCTTATAGTATTTACAAACATAGGTATTACAGCTTTGTGTACTTAAAATGTGATACTTCACAACTCCGAACAAAATGCATATGGCTCAAATAACATAATAGGGACCTTATTTAATTAAAATGAAATGTTAAGAAAATGACATGCTGAAGAAGTAAGGTTATTTTTGAAAAGCACGGAGCCGGAAATTTAAATATGACCGATCGGAGAACGTCAGTTGTGAATAAGTCGCCATTTTTTGAGGGTGCGACACAGTGGCGGCTCGTGAGGTAGTGCCACGGTGCCATGGCACTACCTTGTCTTCTTCAAAAAGAATATTTTTTTCAATCTTCAATGTTTTACTTTATTTTTTGCTTTTTCATTTTTTTTTGGTATAAATTATATGAAGTGACAACACTGACAACGTGACAACACCGCAAGCACCCGAACACGCGACGAGATATAAAGCATGCCTTGACCTTGACGTCATCAACTTGTGCCAATGTCGGGCCGGCCCAAATAAAAAGAGAGAAATTTTACCAGCATCGCATACGAGCGACAGAGATAACGCTACAATACACATTTTTATATGAGGTGAATAGCGAAAGACAAGTATAATTTGTGCCAGGCACATCATCAGTCGTAATTCGTTATCAAATGATATCGGCGGTGTTTTTGTTCGGTCGGTCGTTTCGTTATGATTACGTCTAGTGCTGATTTCGGTCTTTTTTTACCTGAAAAGTGAGAAATAACGTTTTTGTTTTAGTACGTCTAGTGTTAATGAACTGCTCTGTTTTGTGATCATATTTTTTACTGTTTTATTAAAACTAGTGAAAATGAATAAAATCGGGATATTAAAAAACTCATTTAGTGGTTTTTCGCTGGATCAAAAACTGCAAATTAAAGAATTAGGACGGCCAATACCCGATTTAAAAATTGAGAAACAAAGTGGTAGCGGACAAAAATCGCGCTGTCGCAAATTTAATAAAAATGTGTACGATAAAAACAGCTGGATATGTGGTTGTGAAGAAACGAATAAACTATTTTGTTTTGTATGTGTTCTATTTGGAGGTGACGAGACTTGGTCAAAAAAAGGTACAGATGATCTTATACATATATGGGATAAAATGAAGACCCACGAAAAATCTAAAGTCCATATGAATAATGTTTTTAGCTTTTCTATTCTTGGTAAATTAAATATAAGGACTCAACTCAATTCGGCTTATCGCAATGATCTAATTAAACATAATAATCAAGTGGATAAGAATCGATATGTATTGAATAAAATTATTAATTGTATAAGGTTTTGTGGAGTATTTGAGTTAGCCTTAAGGGGTCACGATGAAAAGGAAAATTCGGAAAACAGAGGCATATTTAAGGAGCTGGTGAATTTTAGCGCCGAATTAGACAACGAATTGAAAGTCCATATTCAAAGTGCCAAACTTTTCAAGGGTACCTCAAAAACAACTCAAAACGAGCTTCTTGAGTGCATGCTAGATGTTTATCATGAAGAAGTTAAGAAGGAGATTGCAAATTCTCCTTTTGTTGCAGTAATTGCCGATGAAACGACTGACGTAGCCTGTGAATTTCAGTTAGTTATTATTTTCAGATATTTGTGTAAAGGACAACCAGTTGAGAGATTTTGGAGATTTTACGTCCCCGACGGACACGATGCCAAATCAATCGCTGCATGCGTTTTAAATGTTGTAAATCCATTAATAGATCAAAATCCAAACAAATTAATAGCTCAAAGCTATGATGGTGCGTCTGTTATGAGTGGTGAATTGAATGGCGTTCAAAAGATTATTAAGGAAACTTATCCACTTGCAAATTATGTTCATTGCTATGCACACCAGTTAAATCTAATTATGACAAGCGCATGCTCTGTCAATAAGCAGGCTAGAATATTTTTCCATAATTTATCTGGATTGTGCTCTTTTTTTTCGACGTCTCCTCAAAGAACAAAAATTTTGGATGAAATAGTTAATCGCAGATTGCCAAGATCTTCCCAAACACGTTGGAATTTTCAGTCACGAGGTGTTCATACAGTTTATGAAAATAGGAAAGACCTGATTGAAGTTATGGACAATATAGAAAGTACTTCACGCGATTCTTCGTCGATTAATCAAGCCAGTGGGTACAAATTAAAGCTGCAAGATACAAATTTTGTATTTTGGCTAAGTATATTCCATAAAATAATGCCACATGTTGAAATTGTCTTTAACCAATTACAAAAAGTATGCACCGATTCTGTTAAGGTCAAAAATGATTTAGAGAATTTTGAAGCAGCAATTCAAACTATACGAGAACAAATGGATAGCATTATTGACGAGATTGAACGAGTGCAGAGAGAAACTGATGAACCGGCAAGAAAAAAAAGGCAAGTTGAAGAAGGCAGCAAAAAACGGGAAGCGTTAGAAATATGCGATGCAGTATTATCGCAAATAAGAACAAGATTTAACTTTTCTGGGCATTTAGTTGCTTCTAATTTATTTGTGTCTGAAAAGTTTTCTGTTTATAAACATCAGTTTCCTGAAGCACATTTAAATGACACATGCACACAATTTTCATTTTTAGACAAAAACAGGCTTAAAACTGAGTTACAAGTATTATATCAGAGAGAAGAATTGAGTACTACTTCTGGAGCTGTTCCACTATCCATTTTATTGAACGAGGAAGGATTAAATTGTACGTTTCAAGAAACTCTTAAGCTCTTAAGTATTTTAATCACTATACCGATGTCAACATCTGAAGCAGAACGCTCTTTTTCAATGCTGAAACGGATTAAAACTTTCCTCAGAAACACAATGAAGGAAGAAAGGCTTAGTGCTTTAGGAATGCTGTCTGCAGAAAAACATTTTGTTAGTGGCATTGAAAATTTTAATAATAAGGTAATCGAAAACTTTGCTACCAAAAAAGAAAGAAGAATGGACTTCATGTATAGAAAACTTTGAAGTTATAGGTACTTCTCCACACTTGTTTTATAATTTGGTGCGCGTGTGTAAATAGTTTTATTTTTGATTTTTTTTTGGACATATAGATTTATTGAACCTCAAGAACTTTGACCACTAACTATCAGGGGTAAGTTATAAGTTATTCTTTACAATTTTGAATCGATTCAAAATTATGGCTTCCATTCTGGCACTACCTCACTGAATTGGCACGAGCCGCCACTGGTGCGACATGGTTGTCATATTATGCACCAGCAAAACTGCTTTGTTTCCCATTCGGCAATATGAGTTTCACCCCCCTGCACTGTAGTCTAGATGGCAATAGCATCTCCAGGCCTATCGAATACTCGCGGTGGCTCCATACAAGGTCTCGTAATTCTGGTTACCTACGCGTCTATCCCACTTCTGACCACCTATCGAATTTTCTAATAACTGATGTGCAAGGATGTCTCTCGCTTTACCCAAAGATGCAGCTATACGAGGGGGCTACAATATGTCCAAAACGGTTGTCAGACCGGTCCACAAAGCTGATAATCTCTGGAGGAGAGTACTGAAATATTTCGTTGTTCAATTTGTTAGCATAGTGTGTTTATATTGTGGGACTAACATTTCTCTTTCATTAAAAGGGGTCATCAAGTGACCATGGTCACGCCAAATCCACTTCGCGACAAATCACTTGTGAACCTCACGGAAATCGACGTGAGTTCCATCGTAGAGGTTCTACCTTCATCGAAGTCCATAGAATTCACAATGTCCAAGGACACGCACACCCACGAAATAATGATAGCATTCTATGACCTCTCGGAGAGAATACAAGAAGCCGTCTTCCAGAATCGAGAATTCCAGAAGCTGTATAAAGATCCTAATGCAAAATTTGATTTACTCATCGCGGAAGCCTTACATCCTGGAATGTATAGTCTAGCTGGAAGGTTCAAGGTACCAGTGATAGGTAAGTTAACACCAGTCATTCGTGGATAGTTTTAATCAAATCACACACAAAAATTTATTGATTGAAGCTATCTTCTTTGTCAAAGAATAGGATAACTGGCCACATGGAGACCATTAGGTCTTTGTACCTTAAGGGATAGACATCCTCTCATCAGGAAATGAAGTCGCAAGGCTAATAATTTGTGAAAATATCTTTTTTGTTTTTAGGAATGTCAAGCCTTGGAGTAGTGATCGCATCACATGAATCAGTTGGCAATACGTTTCATCCAGTTCTGTACCCAGACATGAACCTCCCATACGTTGGTGAACTTAGCTTGATGGAAAAGCTGTACAGTACTTGCTTTACTTTATGGTCACTTTATTATTACAACTACCATGTGATACCCAGAGCAGATCAAATTTCCAGGAAGTATCTAGGTGATAGATTGCCGTATCTTGGTGACATAGGAAGAAATGTCAGTATCTTGCTGACCAATACCAATATGGCTATTTATGGTGCAAGACCGTATATCCCCACAGTAGTGCCGTTAGGTTTTATGCATATTGAACCTTTGAAACCACTGCCAGAGGTACGTATACGATATGATTGGTAACATTTCTGTCAGCTACCGAATAGACAGATTTGTAAGACGATGATAGAACGATAAACGTGAAAAGAACAAACCCGCCTTAGAAGATGTCAAAGTACCACCCCATACTATCTTATTTTTGTTACATGGGAAATACAAAAACAATTAGTTTTCCATGTTTCTGAGATTACTCCCATTTTGAACAGGATCCTATGTAACGCTAAAAAACGAAGCAATTTCTTCAATTTTGGCGGAAATGAGTGACACGCTTTTTCGCGATCTACGTGTCAAGTAACTTCCAAGAAATAATATCTCATTTTCGAATTGCTTTGCGATTACAATACTTCCTCGCCAGTAGGCATGGGAAGTAAAAGCGTCCGGTCGGATAATATACTAAGTGACATATAAATCCGAACACCCAGTTTAAACGGTTTGATTTTAATAAAATTTTGTATAAGTACTTAATGAAGCATAATAAGTTAATGATAAAAATTTCAAAATGATTGCACTGCTTTAAAGGCCTTTGACCTTAAATAATGTGTGGATGGAACCTGATGTGCTACGCATTCTCCAACGCGCCTAGGCATGCTTCTGATCAGGTGGTCAATGTCCTCCTGTGGTATCTCATTCCAGGCAACCACCAACTCCTCTCGAAGTGCTTCTAGAGTCTGAGGAGGACGTTGCAAATTGAGCAATCTCCTACCCATCATATCCCACACGTGCACAATTGGGGATAAGTCGGGAGATCTTGGTGGCCATGGTAACAATGTGACATCATTATGTTGAAAGAAGTCTATTGTGACTCTTGCAACATGTGGTCGGGCATTATCTTGTTGGAAAGTTGGATCTGCCAGGGTGTCAAGATAGGGTAAAAGATGGGGTTCTAGAACTTCGTGGATATAACGCTGCACGTTCATGTTACCTCTGATGAAGATTAAAGGTGAGCTGGAACCATAAGCTATAGTACCACCCCAAACCATAACTCCAACAGTGTGATGAACATGTCTTTCAACAAAAAACTGTGGATTCCTCCTTTCACCACGTCACCTTCTAACCCTGGCACGACCATCGTGCATGCCTAAAAAAAATCGAGACTCGTCACTAAAGACAATACTGTTCCATTCCTGATCCCAGAGTGACCGTTGTCTGCACCACTCAAGGCGATTACGTCGGTGTTCACACTTCGCATGCCAATAGGTCTTCCGTGTTCTGCAAACCATTCATTTGCAATGGACCTGGTAGTGGAGAAACAGTCCCTTAAGGCCAATAATCTTAGGCGGCGATCTTCACGGTCTGTTGTTCTACGGCGACGTCCAGTGCCCCTTGCTCTTTGCGTACGGCCTTCTCGAAGCCATGCCTGACAACACCTAACCACAGTGTCTACACTTCTTTGCACTCTAACTGCAATTGCCCGAAAAGAAAGTCCAGCTTCCCGAAGTCTCACTATACGGCCCCTATAGAACTCACTAAGTTGACGAAATCGTACAGGTCTCCGTACTCTAGGCATCGTAACCGATCGTAAAGGATGTCAAGAACCAAAATCCACCAACGTTGATTCTTTACTGCGGCTGAAATATTCATTTTTAGAGCGTTAGTGAATTAAAAAATAGCAGTATAAAAACCGTAATGTCCAACTGATAAGGCTGAAAATTTTTTCACTTGTTATTTACAGTAAGATAAATACATTCACCAACTTTTATTAAAATAAAACCATTTAAACTGGGTGTTCGCATTTATATGTCACTTAGTATACATGACTTTTCTGGAATAACATTTTAAAAAATATATACTGAGAACTGATAATTCGTTCAGCAGATATTTCAATCTAAAAATTTCCATTTACAAAAATTATTTTTGGCCCAGTATAAATTGACTTTGGTACTCGGGCCTTTAACGGGGCTGAGGTAACGGGAGGGGTGAAAAGGAAACGAGGGTGGGTTGCTCCTAGACGGTCGGCGGCGCTACTTTAAAAGAGGAAAGGATGACTGCGGGTGCATACAATGTAAATTTTTATAATAACAGAGTCGTATTTCGAATAGCGATCTAGAAGTAAATCGTTTCTTATTTTGGTACTCAGCAAGTGATCATTTAGTATTTTTCTCCCCTTGTTACTGTTCGGCGATATTGTGTTGTTGAATTGTTGTTGGTGTGATTGTTTTTGAGTGCCTTTTTTTATCAAGGCTGATAATGGACAATAAAGGGTCATATGCGACCATTTTAATTACGAATGCACTGAGTTTAATTCATGATGGTCAGCAATAGTGTGGAGCAAAATACATTGAGGTAAGCGAATAAATTATTGCAAGAAGAGGTCATACCATGGAAGATGTGCTGCAGCTGTAGTGAGCCACAATACCCAGCGGCCAGTATATGTGGTCTAAATACATTTGCGTTATAAGCTTAGTCGAACCTCGCTTATAGCTAAGATGGAACAAAGACTCAAACGCAAGAATCTTGACAAGAAACTCAGACCAAAGAAAGCTGATATAAAAATAACTAACAATTCGGATAGCAATTCCAAAGAAAATGAATATTTTTATGGCGAATTCAATCAAAAACCTGACATTAACTACATTGATTTGGAGGTTGCTAAGCGAATTTTTTTACGGAAACTTGAAAAAAGTGACGACGAGATTTTGCAGATCGAACAAGTCACCAAATCACAGGACTGCACTTTGTCGCGCCTCCATCGGAGGATAAGGTTGACAGCGTCTCGATTTGGTGAACTTTGTAGAAGAAGGAGACAACAAGCTGTAAAGTTGTAGTAAACTCCATCATATACCGAACAGAGTTTTCTAGTAAGGCAATAAAAAAGGCCTTACAAAAATCATTATACACCGCAGTTCAGTCTTGTGGATTGTTTATTGATCGCACACATCCATTTCTGGCAGCATCGCCTCCATCTACCTCTTACAGTAGACAAGAAATGTACTTAATCCAGGTATAAGCCTACCTGTTTATTGCTTTGCAAAAACTACCTAACTGTGTCCTCTTATTTTGAGGGCATAAGATATTTTTATGACTCTCATTCAATTGTTACCATGTATCACATGACCCTTGGAAACACAATTGTGTTTACTGACATGAATAAACGAAATGTAATTTGATATCTTGAATTTATTTTAGGAAAGATATCAAACTATTTGAATGCATTTTTTCTTAGTCGTAACGCACCGTCGCGTCACTTGGACTGGCAGGACGAAACAGTAGACGAATTTCGCCCAAAAACCGATTTGCACTTCATAGCTTACGCTTCATTTTTTATTATTTCCAAATGAAACTCTTGCAGCGTGCTAAAAACAAAGTTCACGGGGTGCTAAAGATCCACTTTTTCGAATTTATCCACTAGGATCTTTTTAAAATATCAAGAAGTTGAGCACAAATTCGTTAGTAAGCATTTCAACCCACCATAATTCTTGGGCAAAGACAAAATTTTGTAAAACGCTCTGATAGCAGCTTAGGTAATTATGTCCTGCTTATATCCAGAAATACATCACAAACTGCAGTACACAAATTGAACGTAACGGCGAAATGGGTACATTTCACGGCTCATGAAATTCAAATGAAAATGCAGGTATAAAATCTACCAAATTATCGTTCAAAAAAACATATTTCCTTGACATATCGATAATTTTAAAGTTCCACGCTAAATTCCTATATACTTGACTGGAGTGATATCCGAATTCATTCTTCCCTACTGTCGGCAGTTGCAGATAGATCTGTTGGCTCTTGGTGTCAAATCTATAGAGCAGGTACCGATTTTTTCAAATCGTGAGCACATTATTCGTCGGATTTTCGTTACTTAAATTTCCTGTAATCACTGGGATCAGAAGCTTCTTAATAATAGAACGTGTTTCACTGATATGAAAGATGCAATATTCAGAATCACCTCCCCCAACCCCCACTTTTTAAGCAGTACAATTTTTTTCTGTCAATGATAAGGAACCCCTGTAATGTCAAAAACGAAGTTTCAGCAATTGTTACTTTTTCTTTTTTGCCACTGGACTAAAACTACAAAGCTTTGGCATACTAGTAAACCCGTGTGGAAATTTCATAAAAATCCGAGCGGTTATTTCCAAGTTGATGAGTGATACAGTTTTTCGTGATGTAGATGTCATATGACTTAAAAACATAACATCTCATTTTAGAAATCATTCGCGATTACAATACTTCCTCGCCAATGACGTGGGAAGTAAAACGTCTGTAAATTCGAGGAGTATCAGCGATCGCGATTATGAGTACCTATTTGCAGAAAGACTTATCTACGCGATATTAGATGAAATAGGGCCACCAAATTATCTGAATACGTCCTTTCTTAGTCCGTACATTGCGCCGCTGCGCTTGGTTTGGCAGCACGAAACAGTAGACAAAATTCGTCCAAAATACGATTTGTAGAAGTTTGCGTGCTTCGAAATGGACGCTTTATTTTTTGATATATTTAAAACGTACGCAACCCATCATAAAACTAGTGCAATAACAAAATTTCAAAAAGTGCTCCTATAGCACCCTGGGCAATTATCTTCTCAACATACTGTATGAAATTCATTAAAAAATATTGAAAAATGGAGTGTCTGTTTTGAAGCAGCTGAAACCTTGTAAATGGCTTGAAACACACTGCGTCGGAGCCGCCTTAAGTAGATCGAATAGGTCTTTAGATTCAAGTTTCGATATCGATGATAATGGAGGCTGGTTCATGTCCGAGCTAGTTTTTTTTATTTGTAGAGTACACCTTATAGGCATGAGACTGGTCAAAATTGGTGGTCCGGGAAAGATATGGATTTTATATTTCAGCAGTCATTCGAATTGTCAGCCCAACAACAGAATGAACAATTTGGAAAGTGACATTCACTGAAATATCTAATAAACGAACTATCAGATCACAATTTTTGTGTTCCTTGTGCAATTTTACTCAAGAGTTATTAGGCCTGATTCTTTCCGGAGACAGGACTGGCAACAAATTGAAAAATTTCACATTTTTGCCAAACTTCTAAACTTTAAGCTTGTCTCCCAACCGAACCGTTCAACCTAACACCCCTAAATCTTGCCTTAAGATAAAAAAATGATCAGGATCTGAGTTATGACCCACCAAGTGAACATGTGAAAATATGTTTCACGGACTCCTTGCATGGTGATATCTAATTCTTGTTTAACAAAGAGTAACGAACACGTTTGCTTTTCAGGATCTGCAATCTCTATTGGACGATGCTAAACCTGGGGCAATATATTTTAGTTTGGGCGGCAACGTGAAAAGCTCTCATTTGTCGCCACATATTCGAGAAACTATAACTAAAGTGCTGTCTCAAGTACCGTACACAGTATTATGGAAATGGGAAGACGATAATTTACCACAGGCAACAGAAAACATCATTTATAGAAAATGGCTTCCTCAAAGAGACCTACTAGGTATGTACTATGCTTGCAAAAATAAGCTCTTTGGGCTCATAATCAGTTGTTCAAGCTATTTTGGCAGAAAAGCTTCATCTTCTGTTTCAATCTGGCGGCAACAAAAACATAGGAATATAGCAAAAATTATTGATTACACAGGCCGATATGATTTTGACCTGGAAACTAGAGTATACTTTCCTGAAGGCCTTTGACGCGCTATATCCCCTCATGTCCATCAAGTCACTTTAGTTCCCGAGATATCCTAAGCTAATTGTGCAGAAGTAGCTATTTTTGCCTATAATTTTGGTTATGTAGCATAGCAGAATATTTTTCCATACCCTATCCTGATTCCAAAATTGTCATCATATGCTGACATTGACAAACCATTATAAAAAAAGGGAATTTCCCAGGTAGGCTCTGAAATTAGCAGATAGTTTGTTCTTCATACCAGATTTATCCCAACATAGTTTTTCTCTTTGCCTGACTTTGTTTGAGATGAGATTTCAAAACAAATTGATTGTTATCATTGTTAATTATTCATCTCCAAAAGATGGTAGTTAAATTTTCAATTCGACTTCCATCGCCCACTTTGTTTTTTCATATGGAGGCTATATGAAATTTTATACTTTCAAGTCCTAAGTTCAGTAATGCCTTAGTTGGCCATGAATTTGTTGTTGGATGAAAATTATTATTATTATGATAATTGAGATGAGTAGAGTACACAGTACTATAAGCTCATGCAGTAAATATAGTGTACGGACACGTAACACAAATACATCAAATAGAAAAAAATAAAAAAAGACAGTTCATAGCTATAAAGTTTGTACACTCCTCCAGCTATCATACTGCACTTTGAAGCTATTAACTGAAGTAGCACCAACCACTCTTTCAGGTAAACTATTCCACGTGTTTAATATGCGGTTGGGAAAAAAACACTGTCGGACTGTTGTTTTAAATGGCTCCTTATTCAGTTTGAAGCTGTGTCCGCGTAGATTGCTGCGCGACAGACAGTATAGATGCATGAGGTTGGTGCCCATCAAACCATGAAGTATCCTGAACGTAACTATAAGATCGCCACGGAGTCTTCGCTCAGAGAATGAGGTCAGGTTGAATAATTCAAGGCGATCTTCATAGCTTGGTCTTCGTGCTCCAAAAGGGATACGAGTAGCCCGACGCTGTACTGATTCGACGAGATTTCTATCGCGCAGAAGCACAGTGTCCCATACCGGGCCAGCGAATTCAAGAATTGGCCTCACGAATGCCTTGTAAATGTAGGCGCAAGTGTTGACGTCGGATCCTTTGAAAGACCTCTTCAGCATGTATAGAAGTTTCTTGGCTTTTGATGTAACGTGGTGAATATGCTCTGACCAGGAAAGACGATCGTTGACTACAACGCCCAGATCAGTGTGGCTGGAAACTGCTTCGATGTTGTGATCAGAGATCTTGTATGTAAATCGCGGATTTGTCTTCCCGAGGTGAAGGACACAACACTTAGTTAGATTTAAGGGTAAAAGCCAACTGATTGACCATTGACAAACAATATCAAGATCTCGTTGAAGCATAGCAGAATTTACGACAGTATTGTAAATCTTGGTGTCATCGGCATAAGCTGAACATGTGGAGGAAATCAATGCGGGCAGGTCACTTGTATACAGAAGGAACAGCACTGGCTCCAAGACAGAGCCTTGAGGAACTCCACTTGCTACATGATGAAGGTGAGACTGGCTATCACTGACGCGCACAGAGAAAGTCCTCCAGGTGAGAAAAGCCTTAATCCACAGTAACAACTCGCCTCTTATTCCCATACATTCCAACTTAAACAGAAGCCTTCTATGTGGTACGCGATCGAAAGCCCTAGAAAAATCTAAGTAGAATATATCAACAGGAGTCTTTGTGTCCAGATACTGAGTCCAATCGTTGAGAGAGTGGAGAAGGTTGGTCATTATTGATCGACCAGGGAGAAATCCATGCTGATTCTTAGGGATAAGGTCATTTTCGAAAGCAAATGACAGGCGCTTATCTAATATGATTCTTTCAGCTATTTTGGCGGCGATAGGATTATGATAAAATAAAAAGGTATGACGACACCTGAACATAAAACGAACATTTTTTTGGTGGTAATAACAATAATAATCATAAGTAAGCAGTTGTTGTCCGTTATTTTGTTGGCAAAGTCTGGCTCTCCTCTATACGTTGTTCATTGATCAATTTATGTCGTTTCTTCTGTCTTCCAAGCTCTGTTCCGATGTTCAATTTTGGTGGTGCGGTATACGAAACCTTGAAGCTGATGTTTTCTGGAATTACAAAGGGTAGGTAATCTCAATGTATGACATATTTGAAATTGGAATTAAGAACTGGATTTATCTGCATAAAAATCCAATATGGCGTCCATGAAAAAAAAGGAAGACAATAACGTCATATTTAAATTCAAATTGTGCCAGCTTGTAGAAAATAAATAGAGACAATCTTAATGTCCTATGTATTTTGAAATGCCACTACAAATAAAGTCAGGAAAAAATAAAATAGTTTTGGGAGGCTTTCGTTCTTTCTGTACTGTGAATTCCGACTCTTTCTATGCGAGATTTTGTTAGACACAAATACACAGCTTTGCCTCTATTCAAGCGACTTCGTATCTCTTACTGTTTCCGAGATCGTGAATGTCGAATTTGAAACACCGTGTATTTTATACTCAACACGTCTCTAGACGTTATTATTCCGTGTGTATCAAAGTTGCTGTTTGGTTTATAATTCATTAAAAAATTAATAGCAAGTTAATGTATTCTTATGAGATAAGACCTGCCATCTAAAAAAACTCATCAATCCTCAAAACTGAATCCTCAAAATACCTAAGACTTATCAAAACCACAAGCCAAGAACCCACTACTGAAGCTAATAAATTTTTTCACTTACCCAATGGAGTGCACCGTCGTAAAAAACTTTGCTGTAGACAAACAACTACTGATCATTGTGACATTCAAAAAGTAATCTTGATAACTACTAATCAGTCTGTAGTCAGCTAGAGAAGTTCTAGCTACGAGACTTCATAATTAACCGACATCCCGGGCATGTTATATCTTCCAGCACATCCAAACATCAAGGTATTCATAACTCAAGGGGGTTTGCAGTCCATCGAAGAATCAATTTTGGCAGAAGTACCTATGGTGGGTATGCCATTCATCGGTGACCAAGCCATGAATGTCAGAAGAATAGCGCAGCTAGGCATTGGTGTAGAGGAAGATCCCAGCAAAATTACTGTAACCTCATTCAGGAATTCTATTTTTGAAGTTATCAAAAACTGCACGTAAGTAAATCGGAATAGGTTGCCAGCTTTATAACAGTAGCAGATCTAGATGTAGGTCCTTGAATATCATACATTTGTATAATAAAGATCTCTCTTCTCTCTCGTCTTAGCTATCTGTTTTGATACCGTTATGAGACGATTTGTAAGACGATTTTTTTAGAAATAGATGAGCTATTTTGGAGTGATTATTGTGGATACCTTTTCATCTCAAACACAGCGGGAAGTAAATTAATCTTTTTAACGAAAATCAGATACGAGATTTCCAATCTATGAAAACTTTTCGTAAGCTGGCGAACGGTCAGAAAATGAACATTTTTTGGGTACATTTCGCAGTTACCTTGTTTTCTCAGATCAACAAGATATTATAATACAATCTGATGAAGTCAGGTGACGCCTTAGCGAAAAGCAAAAGAAATAATTTATAAATTCTCAACATGCAGGCAACTCAAAACGTTATTAATTTATTTAAATATAAAAACCCGTCTCGCCGCCTTTACGAGGGATGTCTTTTAAGTTTTGCATATAGAAACATAGTAGGCCGCGCGGACCAAACGTCAGTACTGAATCTTAACCTCACTCTTTAGTAAGCTTAAATTCAAAGTTTCACAACAATACGTGCGTGTTCTCACTACAGTGAATTTTTAAGTGCCACCAAGTCATTAGAAGAACGGAACTCAACCGAGAACATTTTCGCGCCGTAATTTATTACATCTTTCATAGACAATTATCGCAACAAGGATGTCTTGCTGAGTCATTGAAGATAGACATGTGACATATCGCGAGATTGAGGCGTCCTTGAAGATCTCAAAGACCTCAATTCAAAAAATTTATCATGAAGAATTAGGAGTAAGAAAATTAGTTTCTCGTTGGATACCCCGCCTGTTGACTGAAGAGCAGAAAGCAGCCATGGTTAATTGGTGTCCAAATACGCTTGACCATTTCAATTCCGGAAACTCAAAAAATATGTACAGCATTGTTAGTGGTGATGAATCGTGGATTTACTATTATGAACCAGAAAATAAACGACAGTCGGCAGCGGGTCATATTGCAACAGTTCCTCTTAATGAGCAAAGAACTGTTACTGCGGATTGGTATACCACCATTTGTTTGCCAAAAGTCATCACCGAGCTTCGAAAAATGAACCCCGAAAGAAGAATCATACTACATCAAGACAATGCAAGCTCGCACACAGCTCAATCAACAAGGCAGTATTTAACGGAAGGATACGTAGAATTATTGGACCATCCTCCATATAGTCCCGATCTAAGTCCTAATGATTTCTTTACTTTCCCGAAAATTAAAAACAGACTGCGTGGTCAAAGGTTCCAGTTACCAGAAGAAGCAGTTGGCGCATTCAAAAATGCCGTTTTGGATCTACCAGCAAACGAGTGGAATAAGTGCTTCGAAAATTGGTTCGAGCGCATGCAGATGTGTATTAATATTCGTGGAGAATATTTCGAAAAACAATAAAGTCATTTAGAACTTCGTACCGTGTTGTTTTATTTCCATATGCAAAACTTAAAGGACATCCCTCGTAAACGCCATCTTCAGGTATGTACATCTGAGTTCCTAAAGCTAAATACAAGCATCAGAAATCAATTTTGGATGGAATGGGAATTATTTTTGCAATTTTCAAACACTTTTCGCTTATCCTTAGGTATAAGCAAAATATAAAGGAATGGAGGAATATTTTGGAAGACCAACCGATGACCAACATGAAGAAAGCTGTATTTTGGACAGAGTACGTTATCAGACACAAGGGTGCACCGCACCTCAAGACTCCTACACTACCCTGGTGGAAATATTTCTTGCTCGACGTTATTGCAGCTACTCTATTGATATGTCTTGTTATTGTTTTTATTATATTTAAATGTATAATGATCTCAGCAAATATTTGTAACCCTAAGAAATTAAAGAGTGATTAAGTATTATTAGACATTGGCTTTATTCAGTTCATTTCAACAGAGTCAGTCTAGGAAGTATGTTCGTATCGGCATCGTGATTCGGTTTTCCTTGCATAATTTTCCGCATAAGGAACCCCTTTCTATGAATCATGTTGGCAGACCCTAAATAATTGGGCCAAAAATCATCCAGATTTTAATAACACTTTATCATTACCAAAGAAACTCGTTAAGCTAGGGGTGTGTATTTTTAGCCTAGTGTGTGTGTGTGTGCGTACGCATGTGTGTGTGTGTGTGTAGGCATGTGTGTGTGTTGGCATCGGAAACTGGACTGCATTTGCCACAAAATATTGTTAATGGAATTATATTATTTGATCATTGTGAGAGACAGTAAGAACACATTCACAATAGATGTATTAGTGGTATGTAGTTCGCGAACGAACTAGTCTAATCGACAGATTCTTGTGAAAGATTATTGTGATTGAGCTTAGTGAACTAGTTCACCATTCCTTGAAAAACTCGTTGACTCGGTCACGAACGACTGGTATTGTGAGTGAACGAATGATAAGAGAATAGGAGAGGTATTACAACCGTAAGCAGAAGGTTGTATAACTGGTTGCCTGGATGTTATGAAAAGAATGATAAATGTTGTTAGTTGTAGAGGCTGAAAAAATTAAAAATTAGCTGTCAAGGATCGCCCGTTGCAGCTCATGAAGAAATTAAAACAATACTAAAATGAAAATGTCAATTAACTACAAATTTCCATTTAAAGACATTAGTTTTTTTAACTTTATTGGCTTCTAGTCGATTTCTGCTGACAAGGCTGAGCAAGCAGAAAAAAGACGCACACATAGCACAGATGGCACGTTTTTAACCATCTCAACTAATCTGGGATAGATTTTGGTCGGTCAGGGGTAAAAGCGCTTCATAAAAATATTTATCTCGTTCGATAATGCCTGATGCGACTGAATTTTAAACAGTGCAAAGGCCTTTTACATCAAGGTCAGAATCGTTCAAAAGGCCTGACTGTTTTTTTCCTCTTCAGTTCATTTTCCGCTTGTCTTTTGTCTGCGATACTGAAAGAACGAAAGGACACACCTACATTTTACTGGAAACCTTCTGAACTGGTGATATCAAAAAACAAAGGTGAACATTATTTGAGATTATTTGAAAACGTGTATAACTCATAGATACATCTACTTTGTGAGCGACAGCTTACGTGGAGTATTTATAAATTTGAAACATCCATGTTAACAGAAAAAATTGAAATACGAAAAAGCAACAATACGAGGTATTGCGAAGCGAAGCACTAACCCGGCGTCTGATAAAAGATTGAAAGGCATTATTCTTGTGTAAAATAGTTTTAGTGGGCGCGACGGTTTGAACTAGTTCAACGAACTGAACTAGAGAGTGCACATACATCACTACTATCTATTATGTTTATATCAAATTCCACAAGTTTACAAAGCTTATGCATGGTAGGGTAGGTAATGCGATTCTTCTTCAAGATGTGCCAAGTGCCATGTCCTTTTCCCAGTCGTTCATTGAACTAGAATAGCCAAAGCAGATATTTTAGCTTTGGGCCTGGGTGATCAGAATTTTAAAGACAGTGCACTGTGATCTTATCTTGGCTGCATGCAACTGTCTTCAGGCACCCAAGAAACTGATCCGGATTCACGACTCACGACACACCTTATTCAAGAATCGCTACACCTTTGTAACCCTGTGGGGTCCAATAAAAATTGGACGTCCAAACAATAAAGTCAAGTGTAGTTGTATATTTTTCTAAGTGTTGTCAAAGCACAGTAAAGCGTGCGCACTCTAGATTATAAAAACTGAACAACGATTACAAACGCCCTTTTGCCATGATACTCGAATACGCACCCTTCTTACACCTTGGGGTGCCAGAGGGTTGTTAACATGATGCGAAATAGATGGCGCTTCAATCCCGCTTACACTGCGTTTTGGAAAGATTTATCAAATCGCAAGGGAATGTATATCAAGAGTGGTGCACTACAAGGAACAGCCTTAGGTCCACTATTATTTAGTGCATATTTAAACAATATTTTCCAAATTGAGTTGGCAAAATAACCAGCTTTGCCAGATGATACTCCAATATTATATTAAGGTAATAGCTGATCTCATCTAAGAATTGTAATTTAAAATGATTTTATGGAGATTATTTGGTGATTTAATAGCAGATAATTGAGCTTTTACTATTCCAAAACAAATTTTTCACCGTTTGCATCATTCAACATAAATGACCAAAAAGTACAAATTAATATTGTGCCAAACGTAAAATACCTTGGTGTGGTATTTCATCCCACTTACGTTGGGGCATCCATGAGTTGTTTTTATTTTATATTTACTTAGTCATGTTGTTTTCTCTGTACATTGTGTGACAAAAAATATTATTAGAGGCGCTGTTTTTAGTAAGAATACGCGGTAGTCTGCCGACGAGCTATTCTAGAAATTTTTTGTGATAGATAATACATACATAAATGTTACCAAACACGGACCCTGGTTTTGTTATTGATTTAATAAAAATAAGGGCAACCAGTTATTTGAATTTCGTAAATTATAGTTGAAGATTATTATTGATTGATTGAAGCTTTACGGTCTTGATCATTTGATATAAAGAAGAAAAAGTCATATACTCGTATGTCTGACACCAGTTGTAACCGAAAAACGAGAAGTCTATAATTAGGTATAAAATACCTGTTTACAATGCCACTGAAAGATAAATATGATGCAACACAATCAAAAAATGACAATTACACACGCCCTTTTGCCGTGACACTCAAACACGCACTCTTCTTACTTCTTGGGGTGACTTGGGGTTGTTAACATGACTTGAAAAAGATGGGACTTCAAACCCACGCAAACTTTGTTTTGGAAAGATTTGTTTGGCGGTGCCGTTTTTAGTAAGAATGCGAAATAGTCTGCCGAGGCGCTATTTTTGCCACTAAAAAATGCAATCTTTTCGTAGTACAGAATATAGAAAAGTTACCAAAGGTTTAACCCACACCGGGATAATTCCTTTTTACCATCATGCTACTAAAACATCTCTACAAAATAAGCATCAGCCGACAATTGGAAGACTTCCTTATGAAAGACATTTTTTTTCAAAAAATGCAATAGGAACAAAATTCTGATATATTTAAACTTGGAATTTATTCTGCTCTTATATTATGTCAAACCACATATCCGTTACAGTGTTAGAGGTTAGTGTCGGGTGAATAATGGTGACCCACGGGGTGCCCCAGGCAAATGGTAAAACGTCAAATTTTTAGTGGTTTTATTGCAGTAACTTGCAAATTCTTTAGCCGATTATGATGTGTAGAAATTTGATCTGCGAGTATTTTATTGTTGAAAAAGGGGTCAAGTTTCATTTCATTAGCGATAAAATATTTTGATGAAAAGAATAAAAAAAATATTTTAAATCCATTTTTCGCAAACAGAATTGAAGCAGAACATGTTTTCCTAGCACGAACTACATTCTCATAGAGCACCCCTTTTCATAGGTATCAACAAAACAATTTTTCAACTTACAATTTCCCCCAAGAATTTTACTATTTCTTATACTAGCGTCAAAAAGTGTTGACAATAATAGTCAAGGTCATGTTAAGGATCACCAGTAGATTCTTTGGAACTCGATAAGAAAGTGCTGTAGTCTGCCGAGAAGCAATTTTTCCGTAGTAGTGAAGAGTTACCAAGCTTTTAATTCACATTCACGCTAAGCTAATTCTGAAGCGGAACATTTTTTTCCTATATTCTCGTGGAGCAACCCTAGCACACCACTATTACTCATTATGTTTAAATCAAAGTCCACAAGTTTACAGAGGTTATACGTGGCAGTTAATGCGATTCTTCTTCAAGATGTGCCATGGCTCCCAGTTCATTGAACTAGAATAGCCAAAGCAGGTATTTTAGCTTTAGGTCTTGGGTGATCAGAGTTTTAAAGACAGTGTCACTGTGATCTTGGCTGCATGCATGCAACTGTCTTGCCCCTAAGAAACTGATTCTAGTTCATGACTCACGACACACCTTATTCAAGAATCGCTACACCTTTGTAACCTTCTGGGGTCCAATAAAACTTGGACATCCAAACAATAGGCTCAAGTGTAGTTGTATATTTTTCTAAGTGTTGTCAAAGCACAGTAAATTGTACGCACTCTAGATTATCAAAATTGAACAACGATTTCAAACGCCCTTTTGCCGTGATACTCGAATACGCACCCTTCTTACACCTTGGGGTGCCTGAGGGTTGTTAACATGATGCGAAATAGATGGCGCTTCGATCCCGCTTACACTGCGTTTTGGAAAGATTTATCAAATCGCAAGGGAATGTATATCAAAGGTGGTGTCCTACAAGGAACAGTCTTAGGTCCACTATTATTTAGTGCATATTTAAACAATATTTTCCAAATTGAGTTGGCAAAATAACCAGTTTTGCCAGATGATACTGCAATATTATATTAAGGTAATGGCTGATCTCACCTAAGGAGTGTAATTGAAAATGGTTTTATCGAAATTATTTGGTGGTTTAATAGCAGAAGGTTGATCTTTTACTAGATATTCTAAAACAAATTTTTCACCGTTTGCATCACTCAACATAAATGATCAAAAACTACAAATTAATAGGGTGCCAAACGTAATATACCTTGGAGTGGTATTTCATCCCACTTACGTTGGCGCATCCATGAGTTGTTTTTATTTTATATTCACTTACTCATGTTGTTTTCTTTGTACATTGTGTGACATAAATAATATTAGTTAGAGGTGCTGTTTTTAGTAAGAATACGCGGTAGTCTGTCGACGAGCTATTCTAGAAATTTTTTCTGATAGATAATACATACATAAATGTTACCAAACGCAGACCCTCGTTTTGTTATTGATTTAATAAAAATAGGGGCAACCAGTTATTTGGTTTTTGTAAATTATAGTTGAAGATTATTATTAATTGATTGCAGCTTTACTGTCTTGTTAGTTGTAGGTAACCGAAGAAGTAGAAATCTATAATTATAAAATACCTGT